GTGTGTGTGAATGTGTGTGTGAATGTGTGTATGAATGTGTGTGTGAATGTGTGTATGAATGTGTGTGTGAATGTGTGTGTGAATGTGTGTATGAATGTGTGTGTGAATGTGTGTGTGAATGGGTGTGTGAATGGGTGTGTGAATGGGTGTATGAATGTGTGTATGTGTGTGTGTGTATGTGTGTGTGAATGGGTGTGTGAATGTGTGTGTGAATGTGTGTATGAATGTGTGTATGTGTGTGTGTGAATGTATGTGTGAATGTGTGTGTGAATGTGTGTATGAATGTGTGTGTGTGTGTGTGTGAATGTGTGTGTGAATGGGTGTGTGAATGTGTGTGTGAATGGGTGTGTGAATGGGTGTGTGAATGTGTGTATGTGTGTGTGTGTGAATGGGTGTGTGAATGGGTGTGTGAATGTGTGTATGAGTGTGTGTGTGTGTGTGAATGTGTGTGTGAATGTGTGTGTGAATGTGTGTATGAATGTGTGTGTAAATGGTTGTGTGAATGGGTGTGTGAATGGGTGTGTGAATGGGTGAGGGTAGAGTACAGCAGTAAGTTGCTGCAGGATTTGCCTGGAACACACCCAGACACAGGGAGAACCATTACAGCAGAACATCCTCAGAAACGTTGTATTTCTGTATTAACAGCACATTCCTTCTGTTGGCCTCTTAGCACAGACGTGGTCAATATCACCACATGTGTTTTGTCAAATATGCACATGTACAAACTTAAAAAGTGCATTGTGTCATTTTTCTGGTGGAGGGTCCATCAAACGTTCTTCTCCATGGAGATATGAATGCTTTGTCTGGAATGTTTCACAGTATGGCATTAAACCTTTCTATCTTCATGGAGACCAAACCAGACCAAGTTACAGATCAGATCTATGGCGGGGCCACCCCGCTCAGTCAGAATGCCAGTTTTCCTTAGTATTTTTGAGCATTAAATCTCCCTGTAATTAAACCTGTAAATAAATGTAAGGCAGAGCTGTTTAATGTCATACTGTGGAACATTCCAAGCTGAGCAAAGACATTTCCATAGAAATAAAAAGGTGACGAACGCACTACCGAAATGTTTCACAGTGCACCTTTAAGTCTGGTCACAATATTTACTTGAAGTATGGAGGTAGTGAGTGTTCTGGTCATTTACTCTTCGTCTAATGTAAAATGTAACAGTGGTAATAAACAGCAGCCGGACAATTAGTCTCCAAACATAACGACGTTGCCAGGCGCCGACAGACGACGCTTTTAAGGGCAACAAGAGGCTAATCACTAATCACCACAGCACGCTGTTAGGACCCTATCAGTCTACTTGGTCTCACTCTGTCTACATGAACTGTCAATACAAGCGTCCATAACCCCCACCCCCACACAGCTCCGCCCCTTTGTGCACCAAACGAACCCACCAGCCCACCAAGGTCTCAATTTAGAATTCACCGTATCGATCAAGCAGTCAGTCATTCTACAGGTTCAACCTGTCCACTAATTGTGTGTATATATATATATATATATATATATATATATATATATAGTCAGATCTGGGGGAAAGATGACCCCCACTCAAGTTTTTCTACGTTAAGAACTATATATTTAGTTTGCACAATGCAAAAGATGATTTGAATCAAGAAAGTTTGAACATGATTTTAGTACAGTTCACTTGACAAGTACAATGATCTACCAATGGAACAAGACTTTTTTAACATAAAATATGAAAATACATACATGCTACACTTAAGATACAAAAAACAACAGCTCCTTGTATTTAAAACAAGAAACAAAATCTAAATGTTGCTTGAATTAAGAAAAACACTTATTCCATTGGTAGATCATTTGACTTGTCACGATGAATCCACTCAAATAAGTAAAATGCTCTTCATTTAAGTCATGTGAAATTACCTAGATATTGCTTTTTGCAGTGTACTTTTACAGTTTTGAAAAAGTACTACAAGAAGGTGATGAGTTTTTTTTTAACATATGATATGTACAAGTCAGATCTGGGGGAAGGCAACCCCAGCTCCAGTTTTTCTGTGTTAGAGTTAGAATCTATACGTAGTGTACTTTTACAGTAGTACTACAAGTACTACTACAAGTACTACAAGTACTACTGGGGCGACAGTAGCTCAGTTAGTAGTGTTTTTCCACTCATCTGAAGGTTGGCGGTTCAAATCCTGCTCTCGACATAGACATCATTGGTTTGAGAGCTCAGATTTACTAACCTACAAGTTAGCTCCCACAGATGAATACTGTTGTTGTGTCCTTGGGCAAGACACTTCACCCTTGCCCCCAGTGTCTGTGTACACTGGTGTATGAGTGTGTGTGAGCGGGTGAGTGGTTCCTTGATGTAAAGCGCTTTGACTGACTTGAAGAAAAGCTCCGTATACAAATGTGATTGTTTACCAGTCGTCCCTGACCTGAGCTGCCAGTGCAATAACCTGCAGAAACACCTTTTCTCATTCTCTGTTTAAGCCAATCCTCCTGTGAACCCACGTGCTGTTTAGGTACAGACCATTCAGATCAGACAGAGGCATTTTAGGTTTAAACCAACTGGATTATGACATTGAACCTGGCAACCCAAACAGACCCTGTGGGGCTCATTCCGCTTTCTGATTCGATAACCTGAACACCAAAACACAATTTTAGAGCATAAACAGCTTGGGCATCGCATGCAATGTTTGTGTAACAGAGAATAAATCAGCACTACAGTTGTTATCAGTAAAAGCTATATTTGCTACAAGCTCTGTGTTCACCTCGTATCTGGGGACACCGAACGAAAACCAGCACTACATCAGGACCGAATCATGCACGCAGCTTTGTGACTGATCCCAGGTCAACTCCTCGGAACACACTGTATAAGTGGATATATTTTAAAAAGACTCCCCGAGGCTGTCCGACACACCACACACAAGCAGAACTCTAACACTGTACTGCAGGAAGAAACAGGCAGGAAATAAAGGAGGACTAAAACTGTTTCTAATTTGAGAATTCTGATGCACACACAAAAAACATTATCAGCCAGAGTCAGCATTATCCAAGGTCATATTATCAACAAAAACTAAAAACATTCACCCATGCTTCAACTGGGAATTCATTTTTTTTTTGGCAAAGAAAGTCTTGCTTAACTATGCCAAAAATGTAGAACAGTGAGAAAGTAGCTACAAATTCATTCACAAATTTAAAAAGTGAAAAACTGAAGCAATCAGTATCAGTCAATGAAGTCAGTCTGAATGATCCGTCTTACTAGAGCCTATTCAACATACTTATATATGTTTTATTTCATATGTTGTGCAGATGTGTGTCACATTTAAATGAATTAAATACCATGATAACATGATGAACAGGAATCGCTCAACAAACATTAAGTCAGAATATTAGAGTAAACTGTTCCAAAGCTTAAAAGACAAGAATGCCTTAATGGTGCACTGAGGGTCCGCCACCTGCTTGCCATGGAGATATTACTGTTTTGCCTTGATTATTCCACAATATGGAAATAAACTTGATAGTCCCCTTGGTTAATTATCAGATCTATGGAGAAACAAACCAACACATGGTAAGAATTAATTATTTTGAAGGTATTTTTTGAGCTTTAAAACACATGACTGAACAAATGCAAGGGAGATAGGTTTAATGCCCTACTGTGGAGCATTCCAGGCAAAGAAATAACATCTCCATGGAGACAAGCAAGCAGCGTACTCTCCACCTTACAAGTCACAAAGTGCATTTCACATAATCAAAGAAAACCAACGAGTGTCGCGCGCGTCTCAACAGACAATTCTCCTCCACTTCTCCAATCAAAGAAAAACAAGAAAACAAAACATGACTGATGAACTTTTTGTCAACCTTAAACGCTTTTTAATGCTACACTGGCTACATTCTTTGAGATTTAGAGTTATTTTACATGTAATGCTTTATTAACGTATCGATCATCGATTGACAACTATCGACTGCGTACGCTTGGAGCGCGTGGGCAACAGCATGCATAAACAACCATGTTTCTTGAGTCGCTTGTGTCTACGAGGTCAGCCGTGGGCATGTCACGCGTGATCCAACAGCTCCGTGCGTAATTTCGAGTGACATGCTCGGATAGTTCATTTGTCGTACGGTGTGTAGTGCTGATTCATCCGCGCTGCTCACTCCGCTCGTCAATAACGCGCCTCGTAACAAGAGAATATTCACACACAAGTTCGTGTGCGCGCTAATCAGACGCTTCCAACGCCATGTCATCAGAATGTGAAATAATTACGGAATAGAGGCGACTAAAAAGCCGATCTTATAATATTTTCTTCAGTTATTTACTGGCATCAGATCTGATGTTAATGCTTTAAGACTTCATGCTAAAAAATAGCACGGACTTTTGACTTTTCAGGGTAAAAATGTCAGTTAGAAATCTCAGTTCGTTTGCTTTTCTAACACAAAAGAAGAAAAATAGCGTACAATTTTTTTGTAGCCATTTGAGCTTCATAAAAACTATAATTTGCGGTTCAGTGCGTAAAAGTGTACATCTGTGGACAAAATGAAACGCTTTTATGCAGATATTTCTGTCAGTAAAGGCGGTTTGAAAACCTAAAAACAATGACTTAAATGAGAAGTGTGTGCAATAATGTCGTATTCAATCAACAAATCATGTAAAATACCATTGTAAAACTCTTTAAACCGGGCTCTGATATCAGGTCACTGCTTTCGCGTGGTTTCCTTTGTCAACCTCCTTGATTTTCCTATTTTGGGATATTTTGAGTCTGTTCTGAACTTCTCAATTAAAATTCCACATATATTCCACTTCGCTTTTGCCTCCATCCCGGAATTTACCATGTTTTTGTTGACAAACTTTTCCAGCATCAGTGCGTAGCTGCTGCCCACCCGCTGCGTCCCCGACTCCTCCACGATGCTCACTTACTCCGCGTGTCAATCATCATCATCATCATCATCATCATTATAATAAAAAATACTTCGCTACTGATAACTTACAACAATCAAACCTCATTCAATCCCAAATTCGTGCGCGTACTCACCAGACACACCGCCGCGCTCAGAAGCGAGATGAGGACCAGATGTAGATGGAAAAAGAGCGGAGGGGACCCCATGTTGACCACCACTGACAGCAGCAGCAGCAAAGATTTCAGTCTTCTTCCTTCGCTCGGCTCCGGGTCAGTTGAATCTACTTCAAAACGCGGACTTCCAAGCTCTCCAGATCTCTAGTCCATTTCGCTCGTGGCTCAGGCTCAGTGCCGCTCGTGAAATAAGAACTCAATAATCTCGTCGCTTTGCTGGTTACACTCTCTCTGCCCCCTCGCACGCGCCCTTAAATGTCCAATAATCTTCTTTCTATATATACGTGTGAGCTTTTCAGTCTTTTTTATTTCTTTGGATGTGTATTTTTTCCTCCTCTTCTGAAATTACATCCACATGTCAGAACTATTTACGTCTCTCTCTCTCCCTCTCCCTCTCTCTCTCTCTCTCTCTCTCTCTCTCTCTCTCTCGCGGTGGGAAGTTCAAATGATTCTTTGTAGAAGGGGAAGAAAACCAACGCTGTATTTTAGGGCTTATAAAAAAAATTTAAAAAAAAACGCAATGGAGTCCAGAAGTTGAGCGCTTTTTCAAGACGGTACGGTGCGCTCTGGCCGTGTCGCTGCCCCGTTTGCTACTTCCAAAAACGTGTCCAAAGACAGCATCCTTCCATCACCAGACAGTTGCCCATTCATATCACCATCAGCTGGAACGCGCTGCGGAGCTGAAACGCGAGCCAAGACGCACGCTACTCGTACAACGACGCGGAACGGAAGACTGAGAAAACCCGGGGGGCCATGAAAGCGCGAGAAAAGTTTGAAGCTTCTCGCGTGGAGTAGTAGTTGTAGTAGTAGTAGTCGTAGTAATAGTAGAAGTAGTATTGGGAGAAGCGTGTCCAGATGTGGCAAGCGGCAAGTCCGTGTTCAGTAGTATGTGGACAGAAAGGGGGCGGGGGATGGAGCAGCGACGAGGGGAGCGGATTGGCTGTGGCGCGCTGACGTCGGGCGAAACCACGACTCCGAAATGACATATTTTCTCACCCCTCAAACAAACTCTACATTGAGCAGATCGCGGAGCCGTTGCCAGACCGCTTTTTCCCCTGCACACTCTCAAAAAGTTGCATCTAGTAGGTTTAGATTACCGGGACATTACGCAGGCCCTGTTGGTTCATCTTTTAACCAGCGTTCACTAAACTCTCTCGGTTTTTCCTGCGCTGACAGGCTGTGAGTGCTGCTGTGTGGACGCATCGCGCGGGTTGATGCAGTTTGACACGTGGATGTGAAAATATTAGTTTTAGTTAGAGCGAGTTGGGGCTCTGTCTGTCGTCAAGGCTAAAAGCGCACAAGGATGCAGTCAGAGCGGCGATGCGTAAAAGGCTGAGGAACAGGCGCTGTTCTCCGCACACTTAAAAGCATCCTGTCTTTAAGAAATGTACAGCTATGTACGAAATTCAACTGCACTTTTAAAAAAGAAATGAAAAAAAATATATATATAGGGTGCATTATGATTAAAAATGTTCCATGCACACATTGGCAATGATGAAAAGTCATTATGCTATAAATATTAAAGTGCGTCTGTTTAATTCAGTCAAATATTAGCTCATTTGAAGACATGGTAAAGACTTGGGTAATTATGTGGGTAATGAGGATTTGGGAGAGAGTAATTCTATGACTTCAGTGTGGTGACTACAGTGAGCGGCTGGAGAAGGAGAAAGAGCAAGCACAACACTCATTCAAACTGTAATTACAAGTAATCAGATTGTTGTTGTTTTTTTTTTTTTGTTGTTGTTTTTTTTTTTGTCACACAACATTTTTTAGTGTTTTATATAAGATCAATGAGATGAAAGATAAAAGCAGTCAAAATGCTTCGAGTGTGAGGACCTGAATCACTCGGGAGGAGCTCGGAGTAGAGCCGCTGCTCTGTGGGCCTGGGGGGGTGGAGCTGGAGGACATGAGGAACATCTGGATATCATCGCTCAGACAGAAGAAGAAGAAGGAGAAAATGAGTTTTGTAACATGCCTAGCTGGAATCCAATAATACAAAATACATTTTGGACGCCTTAACTGTGGAGTTGTGTGTTTTACACTTTTACACAAGGAGCTGTATGAAAGATTTTGTTTTTAAAATTTATAAACAGGATCTAATTATGTCCTCAAATTCAAGGGAAACATGTTCAAATCAATTAGAGTTTTTATGGAAAAAAAAGGGGGAAAAAAAGGGTATGATAGGTAAGTTGTTACATTATAATTGTGTTTGGTTCTCAAGATGATTCCAAATCCAATCAAAAAGCAGAATGTGCCTCTCATTTGGATCACCAGATTCACTTCTAAAGTCCAGTAGACCTTTCAGACCACGATGTAAGGCAAACGTAACTCCCGGTTAATGCTTTTCTTTGGCAAAATGTTTGTGGAAATGTCTTGTGTATTCTCCAGCAGCTTCATAAATCTGCCCCATCACCAAATCTTCAACCAACAAACTCCACAAAGAATAAACATTCTAACATGAACAACTGATCCACAACTGTCAAGAGAAGAAAGACCAACACTTAAAGGAGACAACAAGCACACATTAGTGACACACTGAACAAAACTAATGTTATGGTCATGAATAAAACAGAAGGAACTTCTTCACTCAGACTGATTCTAGAATTCAAATAAAAATGTATTTGATGATGTAGATATTAGCACATAGAGAGAGATCTGTGTAGTTTCAATGTTACACATGTAATCTGTGAACATGTGTCGCATCAGTGCTGCACAAATGTCTCTCTGCTGATATCCACATCATCAAATCATTTTTAATTTGAATTCTAGAATCAGTCTGACTGAACATGTTACTTATTAATTAATTACTTATTATTTCTGTTTTATTCATGACCACAATGTTAGTTTTGTTCAGTTGTAATTGTAATACTTTTTCTAAATCTGTAGGAGCACAGGTTACTTACATTATCTTAAAACTAGTCATTTCAAAAGCCATGTTTCCCATGTGTTTTTTGAACAGTTTGTCAAGACTGGACTTTTTTTGGCCAGTATTTTTGTGTTCATTATGTTTCATTTTTTTTAAGAAAAAAAGAAAAAATGATAAGTAAAAAGACTTATTTTCCAGAGAATAATTTTGACATTTTCAAATGATCTGCTGTAGACTTTAAAAACACAGAGGAGCTCTTGCTGGATCACCACCTAATGTCATAAGATGGATTGTGATTTTTATCTTGAGTGAAACGAAACTGCTTCTGGCTTTGTTTCAAAAAGTCAGTATGGCACAGTTTTGGATCTTTAAAGAAAACATGCTGTGTGTAAAATCTTTTCAATACATTTTTTATTCACACGTTTAGAAATCTGTTGTTCTGACCGGGCTTTCTGCTGACTGTGTAAATGTATGCAGGTCACAGTGTAGTTTCTGTACCTCACTTTCAAACAAACAAAGTCAAAAACAGTAAACAACTCAAAGTTTTATTGAGTGCTTCTCACATCTTCTCACATCTTCTCACATCTTCTCACATAACAAGCAGTGGACTCTGTGACCCTGCTGCTGCTCGTCTCCCTCACACCAGCGCTTCAAAATAACCCACAGTACATAATATCAAACACTATTGTCATGAAGGGGAATTTTTGGAGGCACAACGTTAAGTGATACTTGTAAATGAGGAGAAGTGAAGAGGCTTTAGCGCAAGAAATGATTGTCATGTTATGAAGCAGTTTCAGCCCCTAAGACTAAACTTGTAAAGTGATAAAGTTGTAAACTGCAGCAACGTGAACAGAATAACAGACAAGCATGTAGAATAATCAATAATCATCTGATATTAGGCTATTTTCTGATCCAGTTTATAACTGTGTTTTGTTACAGTCACACATGTTTAACACAAACTGAATATTTACTTTGAGTTCTTCTGTCAAACTGAAGACAAAAAAATAAATAAAATAAAAACTCTGATCCACCTTGTGATGTCATGTGGTATACAGGAAGAGCTCCACTGAATTTTTAAAGTCCACACACTTTCACTAGAATCATCTGGATGTTTTCAGCCCTGGAATTGCCCATTTCTACTGAAGTACAGGTAAAAGGAGCTGTTCACTTGAAAACGTCTGCTTCATAACATCACAAGATCTGCTCTTTCACATGAGTCAGTGACTCCCCAGGATCAGACTATAAAACTCTTAAAAAGTTCTTTAAATTAAACCTTTAAACCACTGCTGAACTCAAATTAGATTGACTTACATACATTATGTAAAAGCACACAAGACAAGTACAAAAAGAATGTCATTTTAGTCCAATAAGAATGTTCTTTCCATTGCTAATCCTCATTTCTTCAATAATCCAAGAGATGATTTTATCATACAATGATACTTCATCATTACTGTGTTTAACTATAACCAAATCCTTAGAGTTCATCCCAAAGTTTGGCCTGCAGGCCTGGACACATCTCCACCTGACTGTCTGACAGGTGCTTTCACCTGACACAGAACCTGTCCAGACAGCTCCCTCTGGTCAGCAGGAAACACTGTCCAGACTGAGGAACTGTCTGAATCCAAACACAGAATAACTATCTGTGTGTTTGTATCTGATTTATCAACAAATTAAACAAGACATTAAACTTTTATTTATGTAAACGATATACAAGTTTCACTAAATGTATGATTCAAAATGTAATATTTTGTCATTTGTATTGAAGTTGATTTTATTCTGAGACCTTATTTTATGCATGTCCTTCTATCTTACGTCACCCAGGTTTTCCATAAATATAGAAAAGCCTGATATAAAACATGATGTAAATATGTTCTGTGTTGGCAGTTAATACCCCACAGAAGTATATAAATGGAGAAAGGTCACACTGAAACATTTGGGGGATGTTTGGTAGTCGTACAGTGGCGTGCTTGTGGATCAGAGTAAAGTAATGAACCCTAACCAAGCTGCTTTGGCCTGAGGTGCTTTCTCTCATCTGTCTAGATGAATGTGGTCAGTGAAGTGTTCTCCAACATGTGTGAAGACATCTGACCTCTGATAATGAGACAGGCCCTCCTCATCCTCACGACCAACACTGATGCCACATATGAACCCAGTGTGAATCATGATGACCATTATTGCTCCAATCTGTTAGGAAAAACAGTGTATTAAATAATAATAATAATAAATAAATACATATTTTTTAATAAAAAAAAAATATATATATATATATATATAAATATATATATATATATATATATAAATATATATATAAATATAATGCAGCTGGTTAGCTCAATTGGGAAGTCACTGGACTTTCACATGGGAGACCTGGGTTCAAATCCCCCCTCTGATGGGGCAGGGGGGGCAATGAGCTAACCAGTGTGGGTCCTTGGGCAAGACCCTTTGTGCTACTGCCCACCTCATACAATGATGAGAGAGAAAGAAATGTATGACATGCTGGCATATATATATATATATATATATATATATATATATATATATATATATATATATATATATAAATTCACTCTGAAAAAGTGACCAGCTCATTTGGGCTGATGAGGAGACATGAGATGATTTCAAACTGGCTCCAGTTCACAGATATGACAGCACCAGGACTTGATTAAAGGTCCTGTATTATGTAAGTCTGACTTATGTGAGCCTTCAGCTCTGTTATTATGTTAACGCCTCATCAAAAACAGACCTGGAGCTGAGTTTTGTTTCTTTCACACATTTGAGTCATTAGTCATTAGTCTATGTCTCCAAAGCTCAAAATGCTCTGTTC